TTAAAGAAAATTGACTATAAATTGTTTAGGGTCGCAGGGAATAAATAGGGTTGGTCGGGAAACGGTAACCACACCTATATTGTTTTGGCCTAACGGCGTGTCGCCAAAGGAAATGCCACACAACACGCGCATGCGAGAGACAGGAGGGCAGGAGAGGGAAAAGGAGGGGAGGAAGAGAAAGGACGAGAGGAGGGGGAGGAAGGGAGAGGAGAGGAGCGGGAGGAAGGAAGAGGAGAGGAGAGGGAGGAAGGGAGAGGAGGAGAGGAGAGAAGGGGGAGGAAGGGAGAGGAGGAGAGGAGAGGAGGAGGAGGAAGGGAGAGGAGGAGAGGAGGGGGAGGAAGGGAGAGGGGAGGAGGATGAGGAAGGAAGACGAGGATGAGGAGGGAGAGGAGGGAGAAGGGAAGAGGCGGGCGTGGCAAGTTATGCACGCCTCACTCTCTCGCGCGAGATACTCACGCAGCAGCAGTAACCCACCTTTCGACGCGCCCTGCTTGGCGCACTTCCTGCAGGCGCCCTCTAGTGGCTGACTGGAGTAGAAGTTCTCGCAGATCATCAGGTCCTCGAAGAGCGTTTCGAGGAACGACCAGAAGGCGGCGCTGCGGTCAACCGCCGGCAGACGCGCCGTGTGCGCCTTGTCGTTGAAGTTAGCTGCAAGAGGTCAGGTCACGAGGTCGGGTCGTGAGGTCGGGTCGCAAGGTGAGGTCATGAAGTCGGGTCGTGAGGTCAGGTCATGAGGTCAGGTCGCGAGGTCAGGTCACGAGGTCAGGTCACAAGGTGAGGTCATGAGAAGAGGTCACAAGGTCGGGTCGTGAGGTCAGGTCCCGAGGTCAGGTCGCGAGAGGTCACGAGGTCAGGTCGTAAGATTGTTTCAACATGAGCTGACTAACCTTAATATACTTAATATTACTAACCTAGCTATACTTTAACCTGAACCGTAATGCTACCCTTTAACCATAACGCTAATCATAACCAAACCTGATACCTAACTCTAACCCTAACCGTAATCCTAGTCTAACCTTAACACAAACAGTCCCCTCTACCCTCCCCCCTCACCCTACCCTGCTGCATCAGTCCCCTCTACCCTCCCCCCTCACCCTACCCTGCTGCGTCAACGCTCACTCACCGGTCACTATGACCTTGCCTGAGCCCTGCTTGATCAGGGGGAACACTGCCTTCTCCCCCTCCCCCTCACCCTACCCTGCTGCGTCAACGCTCACTCACCGGTCACTATGACCTTGCCTGAGCCCTGCTTGATCAGGGGGAACACCGCCTTCTCCCCCTCACCCTACCCCTACCCTGCTGCGTCAACGCTCACTCACCGGTCACTATGACCTTGCCTGAGCCTTGCTTGATCAGGGGGAACACCGCCTTCTCCCCCTCCCCCTCCCCCTACCCTGCTGCGTCAACGCTCACTCACCGGTCACTATGACCTTGCCTGAGCCTTGCTTGATCAGGGGGAACACCGCCTTCTCCCCCTCCCCCTCCCCCTACCCTGCTGCGTCAACGCTCACTCACCGGTCACTATGACCTTGCCTGAGCCTTGCTTGATCAGGGGGAACACCGCCTTCTCCCCCTCACCCTCACCCTACCCTGCTGTATCAGTCCCCTCTACCCTCCCCCCTCACCCTACCCTGCTGCGTCAACGCTCACTCACCGGTCACTATGACCTTGCCTGAGCCCTGCTTGATCAGGGGGAACACCGCATTG